TCTTCCTTTTGTTCGCTGAACTCAATGCGCAGCGTTTTACTCTGTTTCATTTTTGCTCAAGCATCGAGCTTGTTTCTACTCCAAGCTAACAGAAAAATGTGTTAAGCTGGATTGTCTTCTTCTGTAATTTCTTTGCCTATAAAGGCAGAACATCTCAATGAGAACAAGCAAGCTTAGGGTTTCACACCATCACAAACCTGGTTTCACACACGGCTGGTACTACTGCCTCACATTCAGCTGCAGAAATAATATTCGTCAGAATAATAATAATAATAATAATAATAATAATAATAAATTCCATTAAGCAGCTGTTTATATCTCCCTTCTGAGATCTTCTTCTCGATCTTGAGCCTCTTCCTAATGGGTTTGCTTATACAATACAGAAACGAAACTGCCATCGACAAAACTAGGCTGCACAGAGAAGAATCAAATAGGGCCGGCAGCATGCATGAGACGTACGACTACAGAACTCCTGTAATTTACGTAGTATTAATTTGGCGATTAGGGTCATCAACAAAAAAAAAGAGTCCAGTTAGTGACTGGTTTGAGAAAGGATAGTGGTGAATGGGTCATTGAGGAAAAAGGGAAAGCGGACATCACAACCTCTTATTATGGCCATCTTTTTACGATTGAAAATCAGGTCCTGAATATGGGGGAACGGGTGGCTGCTCTGCCTATTGCCCGTAGTGTTACCCCAGAAATGAATGCTGAACTGACTGCTGCTGTTCTCCCAGCTGAGGTTCGTCGAACTGTTTTTGCTATGGGATCTAAAAAAGCGCCGGGTTCGGATGGTTTCACGGGTAAATTTTTCAAGGCTTTCTGGGGGATTGTGGGTGATTCGGTGACGGAAGCAGTTTGCTCATTTTTTACGAGTAGTAGAATGCTCCGTAGCTTCAATCATACTTGGCTCACGTTGATTCCCAAAGTAGATTCGGTGGAGTCTATGACGCAGCTATGGCCAATCAGTCTTTGCCAATTCGTATATAAAATTATAACGAAAATTATGGCCGAGTGATTAGCATGTCTCTTACCTCGAATTGTTTCGGAGGGACAAAATGCGTTCATTAGAGAGCGGCAGATTGTTGAGAATATCCTCCTTGGCCACGAGTTGATGCATTACTTGAAAATCAAAAACCAAGGGAAGAAAGGGTACATGGCTCTTAAGGTTCACATGGAAAAGGCCTATGATAGAGTCGAATGGCCGTTTCTACTTGCACTTTTGGATAAGATGGGCTTCAATTCGGTATGGCGTGGTTGGATTCATGAATGCCTCCACTCTTCATCCTTTTCAGTTCTGATGAATGGTACTCCGGCTGGGTATTTCAGGCCTACCAGGGGTTTACGTCAAGGTGATCCTTTATCTCCCCTTTTGTTTGTGCTATGCACGGAAGGATTTGCAGCACTGTTGAAAAAGGCAATCTCGGAAAATCGGTTGGGTGGGGTCAAAGTTGCTCCGCGGGCTCCCAGAATTTCGCATTTGTTCTTTGCCGATGACTCTTACCTTTTCCTGCGTGGTGCCCTCCAGGAATGTGAGAACCTGATTGAGGTTTTGAATGAATACGAGGAACTGAGTGGTCAGCGGGTCAACCTGGCTAAGTCAGCGGTTTGTTTTAGCAAGAATATTAATCAGCCGGACCAGGAGTTCCTAGCTGCGATCTTGGGGGTTGGGGCGGTAGGGGTGCGTGATAAATATCTAGGTCTCCCTGCTCTAATTGCGCGTTCTAAAATGGAGACTTTTCGGTATTTGGAGGAAAAGCTTTTGGCTAGGCTTCAGGGGTGGAAGCAACGGACTTTGTCTTGGGCGGCCAAGGAGACTCTTATTAAGTCTATTGCTTTGGCGTTACCATTGCATGTGATGTCCTGCTTTAAATTACCCCTCTCGTTGTGTCGCCTTTTGGATAAACATGTGGCCCGCTTTTGGTGGGGTGAAAATGAGGGGCATGCTCGAGTACGATGGATGGCTTGGAGGGATTTATGTAGGAGCAAGCATGAGGGAGGGATGGGGTTTCGCCTGTTTGAACATTTCAACCAAGCTCTGCTTGCCAAAATAGGATGGCGTATTATTATGGAACCTGATTCCCTGTTGGCCCAAGTCTATAAGGGTAAGTATTTTCCTTCTGGGCATTTTCTCTCTGCCAAAGCGCGGTCTCGCCCATCCTGGGGGTGGCAGAGCGTCCTGTTTGGGAGAAATTTGCTTGAGATGGGTCTCAGGTGGCAGATTGGGAATGGCCGGTCGGCGTCTCTGCTTCGGTCCCCTTGGATACCTCAAATGCAGCTTGATCCTCCATGGTATAACCCGGTAGTGCTTCCGGCGGGGGGGGGGGGGGGACCCTGCTGTGGCCGAGGTAATTTGCCAAGGGGAGGGACGTTGGTGTGAGTCCAAACTCTGTCAATGGTTTGACCCCCCTACTTGCCGTTTCATTAACACTATTCCTTTGCCGCGCCAGAATCTGGAGGATCGGTTGATCTGGCATTTTACTCGGGATGGGGTGTTTTCTGTTAAGTCTGCTTACCACCTGGCTGTCTCTCTTGATATGAGGAAAGGTCGGTGGAGGTCGTCTATGAGATGGATGGACAAGGCCAGTAGGATCCGGTTGTGGGATGCTAACCTCCCCCCTAAGCTTAAAGTGTTTGTCTGGCAGATCCTGAACCGGATTCTCCCTACTACGGAGGCCCTCACTGAGAGAAATATCTCTGTTCATCCTCGGTGTCCGGTTTGTTGGGGTGGCCCGGAAACGATGGAGCATTTATTCCTCGATTGTCCAGTTGCGCGTGCGCTTTGGGGGTACTCAGGGTTGGAGTATTTAGGTGAGGGTTTGCCTAGGCATACTTTTCCTCTGTTCCTGAAGAAGTTGTTGGCCTTGGTCTCGGAGCCCCAACTGCTTATGCGAGTGGTCTCCGTCCTTTGGCGTATCTGGCGATCCCGGAATTGGGTGGTCTTTGAAAGCAAGCAGTATGCGTTCCCAGCTTTAATGCGTCAGCTTTCCCAGCAGGTGGAGGAATGGGTGGGCTTGCCTAAGGAGGCTTCCCCCCAACCTCCCCTCCCTGACATTGGTCAGTCTGGACGGTCTAATCCCGCTCCTGGGATTGTGTGCCAATGGGATGGGGCTACTAGGAAGGGGTCTCACTCGGCCGGGGGTTGGGTTCTCTTTGATACGACAGGGAATGTTCTCCTGGCTAGTGGGGTCCAGTTCTCGGGGATTGATGAGCCAGCTGTGGTGGAATTGCTTGTGTTCCGGGAGGCAGTGCAGTGGTGTTTAACTCATGGATTTTCAGAGGTACGGTTTGAAGGGGATGCTCAGGTGATCATTGATAAAATCAACAAGGCAGAGATTCGGGATAACCAGATGGGCGCAGTCCTTGAAGAAGTCGTACATGTTATTAGCGCTATCCCTGGTTTTAATGTTCGATTCATAGGTCGACGTAGTAATAGGGCAGCCCATTTGGTGGCTAGAAAAGCCCTCGCTTTATACCCGACTATGAGTCGTTTGTTTGATTTCCGAGCCTGGTTAGTGTCCAGGATGTAACTATGCTTTTCAATCAATATATGATTATCTTTTGTCAAAAAAAAAAAAACTAATTCCGTTTACCAGTATTGGGTCACAGGAGAGATAAAATGAACATTAATGGGGTGTTTAAAGTAATCATGCATGAATTTGTACGATTAAGTAAAACAACGAACCTTAAAAATTAAGTTTATCCAACTATAACAAAAAGATATTTAATTTGTACTAAAATAAAATTTACACACCATGTATGACTCTGATTTTAAGGTTATAAAGTCAGTTATCTTGACCACCCATATTAAAAAAAAATTTATTCATTTATCAAATAATAAATAAAATACTATAAAAAGTAATAAGTTTCGCGCTTCGGATTATATTAGTTCATTGAGGGTTTTACGGTTTATTATCTGGGCTTCACCAATGCCTTGGTACTCCACGAGAGAGGAGTAAGAATTTGCCTCTTTCCGATTTCTTTAGCTTTTATTTGTCCTTTTTATTTCTTCTGCAATTTAATAGAAAAAAGAAGTGAGGTTATTGTTTTCTAACAAATTACAACTTAGTCACTCTGATATATATTTTATATTTTGATATTTCAATTTTAATTTTAATGTGAAATTATAGATTTCACTTGAATCCACCAATTCAATCCACCAATTCTTTTGAATAAATCTATGAATTCATTTCACTATGTCATAAAAGTATAAATTTAGCTTGTACCATACAAGATGTTGTATCACTAAACTGTAGGAGAAGATTCGACCATTTTATATTTGCTAATTATGAAAAAATATTAAATAAATAATAAAAGAGAGACGACTCTAAAATCTTGCAAGAGCGAATGTATAAACTCATATAGTACATTTACGGGTACTAAACAAACCTTTATTAACTACATGTAAAAAGTATGCAACATGTACATAAGCAAGTGTTAATAAATTGGTAAGGTAAAAAGGGTTGACTGTCGTATTGACGACCAACTAAAAGAATTGGTCAAATCCTTTCCATTAGCTACTTCCTCTTTGTTTCATTTTTTACTCTCCTTCTATAACCTTTTCATTATTTCTTTCTTTGCCTTCTTTGTCTAACCCTTATTAGTATACTATTTTCGTGTATTCTAATCACAAGTATGAACGGGTAAATACACAACTTGCCAACAGTCTAGAGATTTAATAATTGAACCATGAACTACTAATCTTTTCAGCTCAATGTTGAGCCAAATTAAAAATAAATATATATGCTTCTTATTTATTAGAAAGTCGTCATTTTCCACTATGGCATTTAAAGACGTGAAATTTTAAGCGAGTTACAGTTTGTATTCATTTTGCTTCTCTCTAGAGTTTTTCATCCCCGGTTCATCCTTAATTTCGGCCTAGCGAGCCCTGTGGAAATCGATTCTCCACAA